TTGTATTTAAGTGTACAAAAGTTTAGTTTTGGATAAAGCATTAACAATGGAAATATAGAAGGTGCCAAAAAAATAAACGTGACTATAAGCTCCCCTCACCACATTGTTGACCAACAAATTAGTATCTCCTACATTTAACATAACAGATTTCCGCATAATAGTAGGGTGGTTCTTTCAAAGTAAATTGATACCCATCTGTTACCAGAGTTTAGTAAAAAGTGTGAAGTCTAACACATTTGCATTTACAACCTGTGTTAAAATGATTTCTGATAGCAATACCAGTTAGAGGTGTTTGCAGAGTGAATGTATCTTCTTATAAACATGCAACAGGTGGACGTCTGCAAGTTACAACACTAATGATATGGACTGGCTTTTCATGAATTAGTGTAAGTGGTGCAGCAGAGTAAATATCTCCTTCATAAGTAAGTATTTTAAACAACATAATGAAAAATTTTAGGTGCAACAGGAGTAGAAGAGAAGACTATACAAGTCCAATTATAATTCAATATTAGGCTCCTGGTTCAGTAGGTTAATTTTCCTTGTACTTACGTATCTGGTATAAATAGTAACATCTGTCTTGTAATTTTTTAAGTAGAGGTTGATTTATTGAATGACAGCAGACTCCATTGGCTAGAATACCAGGTTGTATGTGATTATTCCCCTTTATTCAGCACTGGTAAAGCCAAATCTGGAATACTGTGTTCAGTTTTGCCCTCCCCACTACAGAAAGGATGTGGACAAATGGGAGAAAGTCTAGTGGGAGACAACAAAAATGGTGAGGGGGGTGAGGAACTTGACTTATAAGGAAAGACTGAGGGAACTGGGCTTATTCAGTCTAGAGAAGAGGAGGCTGAAAGGGGACTTAACAGCTTCAACTACTTGACAGGGCGGGGGTTGAAAAAGGATGGACCTAGCGTGTTCTCCGTGGTGGCAGATGACAGAACAAGGAGCAATGGTCTTAAGCTGAAGCAAGGGAAGTTTAGGTTAGATATTAGGAAGAATTTTTTCACTAAGAGGGTAGTAAAACACTGGAACAGGTTACCCAGAGAGGTGGTGGAAGCTCCATCCCTGGAGACTTTCAAAACACAGCTAGACAAAGCTTTGGTTGGGATGATGTAGTTTGGGATTAAGGGTGTGTGAAATGGGCTGTATTCGATTCAGATTCAGCCTGAATCGGGGACAGTGATTTGATTCATTGATTCGGATCACTGTTCCTGATTGGATTCGGCCAAATCCAAATCTGAAGATTCAATGCTGATTCAGAGAATCAGCGATTCGGCCATAGACACAGCTTTAAATGTTTTTTCCACATACCTCAAGGTACCAGACATCACTTGTGAACACTACAATGCTGGGGTGGATGGAGCGTCCCACAGGAGTGGAGGGGGAGTGTGCCCACATGCTCGGCAGGGACCCCAGAAGTAGACCAGAAGTATGTTGGGTCCAATTCTGGGCCTGCTAGGGAGTGTACTGAGGGGCTGCCCTCTGCCTCCTGGCTCAGTGATTGGCTATGGGGGGACCCTGGGTGCCCCCCCCAGATCCAGCCATCGGGGTTCGGGGGGGTGCCCAGCACACTCCCTGGTGGACCCAGAAGTGGACCAAAAGTCGTTCCGATCCAATTTTAGGTCTGCTGCTGAGCATGCTGGGGAGTTCCCCACACTCCTGTGGGATGTTCCATCTGCCTCAGTATCACAGAATTCACAAGCTGCCTGGTACCTTGAGGTATATAGAAAAACATTTAAAGCTGTGTCTATGTCCAAATCTCTGAGTCTTTCTGAATCTCTCCAAATTGTTTTGGAGGGTTCTGATTCGATTTGGAGAGATTAAAGGGTCTCCTGATTCAATTTGGATTCAGAGATTCAGCCACCAAATCAGGCCAAATCTCCACCAGATCGAATCAGGGACCAAAGATTCACACAGCCCTTTTTGGGATGGTCCTGCTTTGGGCTTTGGGCTTTGGACTGGATGGCCTGCTGAGTAGGGCTGTGTCAAACTTCAGGTGCTGATTCGATTCAGGGGAGATTCAGCCTGATTTGGCGGCCGACTCTCTGAATCCAAAGTGAATCAGGAGACCAGTGAAAAGGTCTGAATCAATTTGAAGCTCTCCAAATTAATTTAGAAAAGATTTGGAGAGCCTCAGAGATTTAGGCAGTCCCCACTTGCTGCCACAGGGAGCTAGGCCCAGACTCCATGCCGGTATGCAGGGGGAAGGGGGAGGAGGGCTGGAGGGGGGAGGGGATCATGGGGGGACCCCTACCAGGCCCCTTCCCCTGCCTGCTCCCCCCAACCCATGAGTGCCCCCTGACCACCGCCTGCTCTCCCAGCCCTATCAATGGCTGCCCCATCTGGCCCCAGCTGCCAGTTCTTTAAAAAAAGAAAGAAAGAGCTCCCACTCACACGCTGTGCCTGGTGGGGGGGCTATCCCCTCTGCCCCCACTGCCCCATGCTGTGTATGGGGGCTCTGCCATCCCCCACCCATTCTTCCACCTCACCATGGCTGCCCCACCTGACCCCATCTCCCAGCTTTTAAAAAAAAAAAATTAAAGCCCCACACTCACTGGCTGCTGCAGCAACCATCAGGGCTTGGGGGCTTATGGCAGAGCCTCCCCCACACAGCATGAGGCAGTGGGGATCACCCCTTTCATGTGGCAGGAGCCAGTGAGAAGGGGCCTATTTTTTTTTCTTTTTTTAAAGAACCAGGAGCTAGGGCCAGGCAGGGTAGCCATGGTGGGGAGGGGGGGCTGGGAGAGCAGGTGGGAGATGAAGGCTCATAGATTTCATAAACATTAGGGCTGGAAGGGACCTTGGAAGATCATCGAGTCCAGCCCCACACCCAGAGGGTAGGAAGTCAGCTGGGGTCATAGGATCCCAGCAAGATAAGCTTCCAATTTTCTCTTAAAGGTGTTCAGTATAGGTGCTTGAACCACCTCCGATGGCAGGCTGTTCCAGACCTTGGGGCTCAAACAGTAAAGAAATTCTTTATGTCCAGCCTGAAACAGTCTTGCAGTAGTTTATAACCATTCGACCTTGTCATCCCTTGGGACTCATGGCAGAGCCCTTCCATGCAACACGGAGCAGTGGGGGGCAGTGGGGATAACCCCCCTGCCTGACAGGAGCTGGTGAGTGTAGGGCTTTTAAAAAAAAAAAAGCCAGGAGGCTGGAGCCAGGTGAGGCAGACATTGACAGGGCTGGGAGAGCAGGCAGGGGATAGGGCCTGTGTGAATCAGATTCAGCCGAATCAATTCGGGATATTGGTTCGAATCACAGAATTGAATCACTGTCCCCCGAATCGGCTGAATCCAAATCTGAAGCAAATACTAGCCACTTCGCACAGGCCTACTGCTGAGGTCCCTTCCAACCCTAACTTTCTATGATTCTATTATTGTGGCTTGGACATGGTTATATTCACAGCTCTGCCACTGACTTTTTATGTGACCTTATGCAAGTCGTTTATTTTTTCTGAGTATCCACTTCCATCTCTGTGTTTTTGCCCATGTAGCATTTCTTCTGGGCATTTTCATGCAGGTTCTGAGCTATTGGGACCCTGATCTCAACTGCAGCTTCTAGGCAGTAGTAGGCAACAATATATATTTTTTAAATGCAACCTTAAAAACTACAAATTATACTTTTGGAAATCATTGCGAGTTTTAGTGCCTACTTAGTCAAAAAAAGAATGCAGCATTTTAGTTATTTTCTAGGCTTACTACCATAATTTCATAAGATCATAAACTTTTAACTAATTAAAATTACTAATAATAATGTAAAAATAACAAACTTTTTCACTTATTATAGAGACCTACAGTTGCTAGATCAAACTAATTTTACCATAAAAATATTTTAGGAGCAATAAACCCTGAAATAGTAGACTGAATGCTAAACATAACTTTTCTTAAAATATGAGCAGTCAGTTTAGAGAAGACTGCAAGGGAGATGTTACAAACACCATTGTAATGGATCTTAATATACAATGAAGCCAGAGAGAAGCCAGAGAATATATAACAAGAAAAGCCATAATCAGCTGAATGAAAATGTAACATGACTATTTTCTAAGTTTTGATTCATGGGTTTTTGCTAAAATTCAGAAGCCACTCTTAGTGGCAAGCTTCTGAAAACTTGCAGAGCTCTGATAAGAAAGGACATCTCTCATAAATATTCATTAAAAATTACCTTTTCTGGATCATGAATTTTTCAAGCAGACACTCATTTGACCTCTACAAGGAACAAAAACCAGCCTATAGAATAGTGTCTCCATTTTCTGACAAAAAAAAATGGGCTTTTCTACCTAAGCATCTACTTTGTACACTACATAAGGTCTCAGGTCACTTACCTTTGCGATGCAAGCATTTGGGTATTAATATTCATTGAAAATACAGTCTTTAAATTCTAAAGTGTTTCTCATTGTATTTCCTTGAAAAAATTATTGAGTCAAGGCTGGGATTTGCATTTTAAATAATATTCTAAACCACTTATCATGCCTGTCCCTCAACAATCTACTGATCTGAACTCAGCCATTTTAATGGATTAATTTTATTTGTGATCCTGCACCATTTTACTAATAATGCCTGACCCTGCAAGTTTCAGCGTATTTTGTGTGCACAGTTAATTATGTTCTTCCATTTAAGTCAGTGGAAGTAAAATAAGCTACAGAATCTGATGAAACACAACATCTCAAAGGATCCGGCCTACTATTGTGATCATACTCTCAATTATAGTGTAGTCTATTGGCTTGACCTCTTCACACCCAAAGGAGTTAGTGTGATTAGTGTTTGGAAGTTAGGTCCACATATAGAAGATGAACAAGGTAATGGCTTTCAAGATAAAACCAGCCCCTCATCTTCCTTCACCTTTCAAATAGAAGCATTTTCATTAGGATACAGGAATTATCTCAGTCAGATACTTTTTTCTGTCTTTAGCAAGTACACAGGTAATGTTAGGATTCTTTTGAAGGACATATGCTGCTTGTATTTACAAAAAAAATAGTATTTTCTGTTTCTATATCATAGATTTCATAGACGTTAGGGCCAGAAGGGACCTTGTAAGACCATTGGATCCAGCCTTGCTGCCCAAAGTGCAGGAAGTCAACTAGGATCGAAGGATCCCAGGAAGATAAGCATCCAAATGTTTCTTAAAAGAGTCCAGAGTAAGTGCTTGCACCACCTCTGGGGGAGTCTATTCCAAGCCTTGGGGGCTCGGACAGTAAAGAAGTTCTTTCTTATGTTCAGCCTATAATGGTCTTGCAGGAGTTTTTGATCATTGAATCTTGTCATCCCTTGGGGTGCTCTGGTGAACAGGTGTTCCCCCAGATCCTGATACACACACCTTATGTACGTGTAGGCTGCCACTAAGTCACCCCTGAGCCTGCGCTTCTTCAGGCTGAAGAGTCCCATGGCTCACAGACTCTCTTCATAAGGCCTGTTCTCATGCCCTCTGATCATGCTTGTGGTTCTCCTCTGGGCTCTTTCAAACTTCTGACACCAGAGTCTAGATGGTTTATAAAAACATTAAACAGTACAGGTCCGCGAACAGAGCCTTGGGGGACATCACTGGTCACTGTGTACTGTGTTGATTCAGTTCCATCAACCACCACTCTCTGGGTATGTCCTTGGAGCCAGTTACCCAGCTATCAAACTCTAATGTAGTCTGAAATATCATGCCCATATATAGAAAATTAACCAATGATGAATGTCTCCTTTTACCTCTATTTTAACATTTCTCTGATCTGTCCACTTTTCCTTTATTAGCTACAACAGGGGGCAAAACAGTGGGGGAAAGCAACCTCAAAGCTGATACAAGAATATCTCCAGGGGATGAGAGTAAAACACAGCTGGTTCCATATTAAACAATGGTCATAGCATAAAACACATGGGATTGTATCAGAAGGATGTGATTGAATGAACTGTGGTTGCATTTCCCCAGCCCAGCTATAGAATGGCCTACTAGGACCTCCTGCATCTGTGTTTAATGCAAAGGAAACCTGGGGCTGTTCTAATTTTGTGGTAATTGAGCTTCAAGAATTAAAGGAGTGCTATAATGTAACTGAGACCTGCTGTTGTTCTCTCCCACCCTCTTCATCTACACAGAATAGAGACCTGACACAATACAAAACTTAGTCCCACATCTCTGAGCTATTTTTGTTTCATACATAAGCACATCTGTTTTCCTGGCACTTGCTTTGAATGTTATATTTTAATTATTTTAAATATTTTTTCTCTCTCGAAACATTCTCTTCGATTTTCCACCTCTGCCTTTCTGCTTCATATTTTTTGCCCTTTATTATCTCACTTTCTTTTTCTATATTTCTGGATTCCTTATCAGGCCATGGGCCATTCATTAACCTAGTCATTCATTCATGCTATGCTGAGCTAGCCAAGGCTCCGAGTTTAGGGCCATGGCCTGCCACCTCTCCAGCTGACCATTCAGACATAGCAAGCAGGCCAGAGACCTCCATCCTGGTCAAGCCATCCCCTCACCCCTTGCCACCAAAGTGGCTGGTCAGAGTCAGCTGACCGATCACTCTCTGGCATATAGACCCCTGACCCATAAAATGAAATGTCTGGACAATGGGGCTCAACCCCTACCAGAATTGCCTTGCTGGCCCTTTCTTGTGCCTCTATCTGTTCTTTGCTTGATCTCTTGGCTACTGACCTGACTTGCATCCAGACTCTATGCACTACCTAATTCTTCAGCTTCCTGATTCATCTTTCTCCCCAGACCTAGCTCTCTGGTTGTTCTCCTAGCTACTAGACTCAGCTCATCCTCTGACTGATTCTCCAGCTTCCTGACTTAGCTTCACAGACTGACCTCCCAGCTTCCTAAGCCAGCCCATTCCACTCATTCCTCCTGACCCAGGTCGGCACCTTGGGCACCTATACACGTGCAATGAGGCCACTCCAACATGATAATTATGATCCAGCAGACTCCAGTGGCATGTGTACCAGCACCCCTGCACTGCAAAATGGCAGTGGGGGCACTTTTAATAAAGCTCATCAAATGAGCTTTAGTTAAAGCTCCCAGCCATCATTTTTCAGCACAGGAATGCTGATACATGTGGCAATCCAGGCACTTTAATTAGAGCGCCTCTTGGAGCTGCTCTAATAAAGCACCCCACCCGCCAACTCCTGGACCATATGTATAAATGCCCCTTGTTCCCCGAGTGGCTCCTGACCTGGCCACTCATAGCCCAGTGTAACACAACCATTGCTCAAAATGTCTCACTTCCTGTTCTTTTCCCCAGGTCACAAATTATCTCTTCTCTTTTTTTTCACTCCTCCTTTTCCTTTCCATTATTTCAGCTTACAACTGATCTCTTCATTTTCTTCCCCAAACCTTTTGCTTTTCTTCACTTCCATCCTACTGACTACTCCATTCCTTCTCTATGCATTCCTTTCACTTTGATTTCTATCTCAGTTCCTTTTCTCCTTCCCTAACTCATCCTACAAATATTCCCATCACCACATTTTACTACTGTCTTCTTTCCTTCACAACTTTTTTGCCTTATTCTCCCACCCACGGATGCCAGGGCTGTGTGAGATTCCATCAGCTGTTTTGTTTCGGCGTTGTTTTGACTTGTTTTGAACTCAAAACAGCCAAATTGAAACAAAACAAAAGGCTTCAAAACAGCCTCTAAATGAAACAAGGGCAGTCGAAATGTTTCAAGAGTTTCAAAATGTTTCGAGTTTTGAAGCTGGGCTTGTTTGCAACTAAAGAGAAACTAAGAAGAGGGAGGGGGAAGAGGGGGGATGGACTGCTCTGATATTGACTGTGTAGCTGGCCAGTGACTGTGATCCTTCCCGGGGGGGGGGGGCACTCCCAATGCTCTGGGGGAGGAATGAAAAAACAGTATAAAAAGCATTGTTTGAACTGAGCTTTCTCTGTGCCTTCACACTTACAAGCGACACAAGTTTTCCTCTGAACAGTTTGAAGTCCAGTTTCCCAGAAACCTCTGCACCTATCTCCTTGAAAGCTCATGGGCTTCATGGCCTCAGCAGGGGCTGCCATCCCGACAGTTTTCACCCCACTGTGCCTTAACCCACACACGTAACGCAAGTTTTGCTTTCAAGACTTTGTGGTGGTTTCTCAGAAACTTCTCACCTATGTCCTTGACACTTGGTAAACTTCATGGCCTCTGAAGTAGCTACAATCTCTGAAAGTTTCATCTGAATCAGGCAATAAATGACAAAGTTATAGGCAGTTTGGTGCTTCCCCATTATGGCTTGTGGACAAAATGTTGAAACAGCGTCAAAATAGAGAAACCGTTTTGACGAAACAAAACCGAACAGTGCTGTTGAAATTAAATGAAACTCTGTCCCATCAAAATGGTGAAACAGAAGTCAAAACGAAACAGTGCTGTTTTGCACAGCCCTAATGGATACCACCCTTTTACAACCATATGATTAATAAGAAGACCCCATCTTTACTGTTGACATTATTCTTCAGAATTGCTAGTTAGGATAGTGTGGGGTTTGTTTTTTTCTTGTTAGCTTACATTAAACTTTTATTAATATTTCTCTTTCTTACCTTTTTAAAAATATATCTGGTACTACTGGTCCAGGTCTGTGGCTCCTCTCCCGTTACTTTGCACTGCTAATCTAGAAGTAGTAGAAACTTAGGATAGGAGTTAGTTGGTAGGCCCACCAATGGAAGGAGCAGGTATAGCTAGCTTAGTAGCACCTTTTCTTGGCTACTGGGTGTGATGTTATCTGTAACAAGTATGTTGTAGTACAGAGATCATCAATCGCATATTTGGTCCACTGGCACTCAGACCAATCTAAATTGTTGGTTCACAGCTTGGAATGATTTAAAGCCCTCTTTACCTTTCTGCCATCCTAGTTTTGCTCAGCTCAGGTCCAGCATGGTTTGTTTTTCTTTTTTCCCCCCATCAACCCTTATGCCACCTCTATGTGACTTGCAATGCCTTTTGAAAATAATGTTAGCTGTGGAATTGGGATTATCAGGCCACATCTTGGTGATGTATATAAAGAACCACTTGTGCAAAATATCAAGAAGTACCATCAGGCTACTCTGATTACTGCAGGAACAAAAGTACAGCTTTAAAAATTACTTCAACACAAAAGGAAAACAAAAAACCTCTCATTCCCTAACCTTTTCCATTTGCTATGAAAAAGTCTGTGGAGAAGATATGTTAATTAAAAAGTCAAGCACACTTTTAAAAAATATGTCCAGTTCTATACTGGTGTTCTTTATACATGAGTTTTAAATGCGACAAGGCTGTGACTAATAGAAAAAAAAGGGGGTTAGAAACTTCAGATTTTAGCATGCATAAAATTAAGTCTCTCTTACTGCTTCCCAAACCAGATAATTCATTTAGGCAAAATTACATGATTTAAAATGAATATAGCATTATTCTAGTGTGGCAACATAACAGGACATGGTTGCAAGATACTTGTAGCCACAAGAAAGATTGAATTAGAAAATGGTTATTCAGACTCTGAATTGCACCTCAGCTAGGATGATGGAATCATTTGGCTGTACTGTTTAACAGAGAACTGAATACAGTAGTAGATTATTTAATCATGTGTATAAATGCTATATATTTAATGTATATATTAACAATGTTAATTTTGATCTGACCCTTTGTTCTTACATACAGTTTATTTCATTACAGACAACATTTATATGTCCCAAAACTGAAGTAAGTCAGTGTGTTTGGCAGAGAAGGCAGAAATCTGACAGTGACTTATATTTTACATTTTAATGCATACATAGAGTACTGAAAAAGGAGCTGAAGCACACTGGTTGCTACAGCTTCAAGATACTGCAAATAATGTACCCTCTTCCTCTCAAGAGCAAGGTGTATACACACATACAAGGTATTCTTTATGAACAACAGAATTGCTATTTGCCTATTTGAAATCGAATCCAAATGTGCCAAGCACAGCAAGAATACTGAGAGCAAAGGATGTTTAATATTCCAGCCCAGCTCACTGAAAAAGTATTGAATTGACAGAGCAGTGTTCTGTAGAGCAACATGATGTGTCTGCTTTAAATGGAGAATAATGGATTTAAGTTTAGTGCAGAACTAAAGGGCTCAATTACTATTCATGAATTCTGAAATGTTCTACTACAGAAGCTCCTTTTGCATGAAATGTTCATCAGAATC